ATTGAGACCCCATTGAGACCCCACTGACCCCATTGATCCCCATTGACCCCATTGAGACCCCATTGACCCCATTGAGACCCCATTGACCCCATTGACCCCATTGACCCCATTGATCCCCATTGACCCCATTGGCCCCATTGAGACCCCATTGGCCCCATTGAGACCCCACTGACCCCATTGAGACCCCATTGACCCCATTGACCCCATTGAGCCACATTGACCCCATTGAGACCCCGTTGACCCCATTGAGACCCCACTGACCCCATTGAGACCCCATTGACGCCATTGATCCACATTGACCCCATTGAGACCCCATTGATCCCCATTGAGACCCCATTGACACCATTGAGACCCCATTGACCCCATTGACCCCATTGACCCCATTGAGACCCCATTGATCCTCATTGATCCCCATTGACCCCATTGAGACCCCATTGACCCCATTGACCCCATTGACCCCATTGAGACCACATTGATCCCCATTGACCCCATTGACCCCATTGGCCCCATTGAGACCCCATTGGCCCCATTGAGACCCCACTGACCCCATTGATCCCCATTGACCCCATTGAGACCCCATTGATCCCCATGGAGACCCCACTGACCCCATTGACACCCCATTGACCCCATTGATCCCCATTGACCCCATTGAGACCCCATTGATCCCCATTGAGACCCCATTGACCCCATTGATCCCCATTGACCCCATTGAGACCCCATTGACCCCATTGACCCCATTGAGCCACATTGACCCCATTGAGACCCCATTGACCCCATGGAGACCCCACTGACCCCATTGAGACCCCATTGATCCCCATTGAGACCCCACTGACACCATTGACACCCCATTGACCCCATTGATCCACATTGACCCCATTGAGACCCCATTGACCCCATTGACTCCATTGACCCCATCGATCCCCACTGATCCCATTGACCCCATTGAGACCCCACTGACCCCATTGAGACCCCATTGGCCCCATTGAGACCCCACTGACCCCATTGAGACCCCATTGAGACCCCACTGACCCCACTGAGACCCCATTGATCCCATTGACCCCATTGAGACCCCATTGACCCCATTGAGACCCCATTGACCCCATTGACCCCATTGACCCCATTGACCCCACTGACCCCATTGAGACCCCATTGATCCCCATTGAGACCCCACTGACCCCATTGAGACCCCATTGATCCCCATTGAGACCCCACTGACCCCATTGACACCCCATTGAACCCATTGATCCACATTGACCCCATTGAGACCCCATTGGCCCCATTGAGACCCCATTGACCCCACTGAGACCCCATTGAGACCCCACTGACCCCACTGAGACCCCATTGATCCCCATTGAGACCCCATTGACCCCATTGACCCCATTGAGCCACATTGATCCCATTGAGACCCCATTGACCCCATTGAGACCCCACTGACCCCATTGAGACCCCATTGATCCCCATTGAGACCCCACTGACCCCATTGACACCCCATTGAACCCAGTGATCCACATTGACCCCATTGAGACCCCATTGGCCCCATTGAGACCCCATTGACCCCATTGAGACCCCATTGAGACCCCACTGACCCCATTGAGACCCCATTGACCCCATTGATCCCCATTGAGACCCCATTGACCCCATTGACCCCATTGAGCCACATTGACCCCATTCAGACCCCATTGGCCCCATTGAGACCCCATTGACCCCATTGAGACCCCATTGAGACCCCACTGACCCCATTGAGACCCCATTGACCCCACTGACCCCACTGAGACCCCATTGACCCCATTGACCCCATTGAGCCACATTGACCCCACTGAGACCCCATTGACCCCATTGATCCCCATTGATCCCCATTGAGACCCCATTGAGACCCCACTGACCCCATTGATCCCCATTAATCCCCATTGATCCCCACTGATCCCATTGCCCCCATTGAGACCCCACTGACCCCATTGACCCCATTGACTCCATTGACCCCATTGACCCCAATGACCCCACTGACCCCATTGACCCCATTGAGACCCCATTGACCCCATTGACCCCATTGACCCCATTGACCCCATTGACCCCACTGAGACCCCATTGACCCCATTGATCCCCATTGATCCCCATTGATCCCCATTGAGACCCCATTGAGACCCCACTGACCCCATTGACCCCAATGACCCCATTGACCCCATTGACCCCATTGACCCCACTGACCCCATTGACCCCGTTGATCCCACTGATCCCATTGACCCCACATGGCCCCATTGACCCCATTGACTCCATTGACCCCATTGGCCCCACTGACCCCATTAACCCCATTGATCCCGATTACCCCATAGATCCCAATTGACCCCATTGATCCCATTGATCCCATTCACCCCAATGACCCCAATGACCTTAATGACCCCAATGACCCCAATGACCCCAGTGACCCCACTGACCCCATTGCCCCCATTGACTCCATTGACCCCATTGACCCCACTGACCCCATAGATCCCAATTGACCTCATTGTCCCCATTGACCCCACTGACCCCATTCACCCCATTGACCCCACTGACCCCACTGACCCCATTAACCCCATTGATCTCAATCACCCCATAGATCCCAATTGACCCCATTGATCCCCATGTACCCCACTGACCCCATTGATCCCATTGATCCCATTGACCCCAATGACCCCAATGACCCCACTGACCCCACTGACCCCATTGCCCCCATTGCCTCCAATGACCCCATAGATCCCAATTGACCCCATTGACCCCACTGACCCCAACGCCCCCACTGACCCCATTGATCCCAATCACCCCATAGATCCGAATTGACCCCACTGACCCCAATAACCCCTCACATCCTCACTGACCCCAATGGCCCCACACCGAACCCCAACCACCCCACAGCGCCGACCCCAAAGAGCCTGCGTGACCTTTGACCCCTCGTGACCTTTGACCCCTCGTGACCTTTGACCCCCCACAGATTGCTCCGCCTGCGCCGCCACCCCGCACTTCCTCGCCCCATAGCGGGGTTCTGCCGGGGTCTGCGGGGGGGGCCGGTCCTCATCCTTTTAGGGGATGGGCAGCTCTGGTTATGGGGCGAGGGGGCGCCGCCGCGACCCCTGCGGTAATGGGGCTATGGGGCCTGTGGGGGGGTCGCTATGGGGGCTCTAGGGGACGCTATGGGTCTCTATGGGTCTCTATGGGTCTTTATGGGGTCTCTATGGGTCTCTATGGGGTCACTATGGGTCTCTATGGGTCTCTATGGGTCTTTATGGGGTCTGTATGGGTCTGTATGGGGTCACTGTGGGGTCTCTATGGGGTCTCTATGGGTCTCTATGGGGTCACTATGGGGTGAGAGGGCACCACCGCGACCCCTGCGGTAATGGGGCTATGGGGCCTGTGGGGGGGGTCGCTATGGGGGCTCTAGGGGGCGCTGTGGGTCTCTATGGGTCTCTATGGGGTTTCTATGGGTCTCTATGGGGTCTCTATGGGGCTCTATGTGGTCTCTATGGGTCTCCATGGGGCTCTATGGGGCTTTATGGGGTCTCTATGGGTCTCTATGGGTCACTATGGGTCTCTATGGGGTCACTATGGGGCGAGGGGGCACCACCGTGACCCCTGCGGTAATGGGGCTATGGGGCCTGTGGGGGGGGGGTCGCTATGGGGGCTCTAGGGGGCGCTGTGGGTCTCTATGGGTCTCTATGGGGTTTCTATGGGTCTCTATGTGTCTCTATGGGGTCTCTATCAGGTTTCTATGGGGCTCTATGGGGTTTCTATGGGGTCAGTATGGGGACTCTATGGGGCTCTCTGGGTCTCTATGGGGTTCTATGGGTCTCTATGGGTCTCTATGGGTCTCTATGGGGCTCTATGGGGTCTCTATGGGTCTCTGTGGGTCTCTATGGGTCTCTATGGGTCTCTATGGGTCTCTATGGGTCTCTATGGGGCGAGGGGGCACCGCCGCGACCCCTGCGGTAATGGGGCTATGGGGCCTGTGGGGGGGGTCGCTATGGGGGCTCTAGGGGGCGCTGTGGGTCTCTATGGGTCTCTATGTGTCTCTATGGGGTCTCTATCAGGTTTCTATGGGGCTCTATGGGGTTTCTATGGGGTCAGTATGGGGACTCTATGGGGCTCTCTGTGTCTCTATGGGGTTCTATGGGTCTCTATGGGGCTCTGTGGGTCCCTATGGGTCCCTATGGGTCTCCATTGGTCTCTATGGGTCTCTATGGGTCTCTATGGGGTTCCTATGGTGTTTCTATGGGGTCGCTATGGGGTCTCTATGGGTCTCTGTGGGTCGCTATGGGGTCTCTATGGGGTTCTATGGGGCTTCTATGCGGTCGCTATGGGTCTCTAGGGGTCTCTGTGGGGTTTCTGTGGGTCTCTATGGGTCTATGGGTCTTTAGGTGTTTTCTATGGGGTCTCTATGGGTCTCTGTGGGTCCCTATGGGTTCCTATGGGTCTCTATGGGTCCCTATGGGTCGCTATGTGTTTCTATGGGTCGCTATGGGTCGCTATGTGTCCCTATGGGTCTCTATGGGTCCCTATGGGTCGCTATGGGTCGCTATGGGTCCCACCATGGCATCACCTCCTCTGTCTCCCCCTCTCTCCCCCCCAGGGCCTTCGTGTCCCCGACCCCATTGGACCCCAATGACCTCAAGCTCCTCTATGGGGCCGGCGAGGACGGCTGTGGGGCCGACGCCGGCGGGGCCGATGCCTATGGGGTCGCCGCCAATGGGGTCGACGGCAGCAGGGTGGCGGTGGCCCCATATCGCCTCCCAGGCTGCCCCATAGCGGCGCAGGCGCTGCCGGGGGGGGGATTCCTCCTATGGGGCGGGATGGAGAGGCTGCACCTCTGTCACCTGGTGAGGAGACTTTGGGGTCAGTGGGGTCAGTGGGGTCAATGGGGTCAATGGGGTCAATGGGGTCAATGGGGTCATTGGGGTCAATGGGGTCATTGGGGACTTTGGGGTCAATGGGGTCAATGGGATGATTGGGGACTTTGGCGTCAATGGGGTCAATGGTGTCAATGGGGTCAATGGGGTCAGTGGGGTCAATGGGGACAATGGAGTCAATGGGGTCATTGGGGTCATTGGGGTCAATGGGGTCAATGGGGTCAATGGGGTCAATGGGGTCAATGGGATCAATGGGGTCAATGGGGTCAATGGGATCATTGGGGTCAATGGGGTCAATGGGGTCAATGGGGTCAATGGCGTCAATGGGGTCAATGGGGTCAATGGGGTCAATGGGATCATTGGGGTCAATGGGGTCAATGGGGTCAATGGGGTCAATGGAGTCAATGGGGTCAATGGGATCATTGGGGTCAATGGGGTCAATGGGGTCAATGGGGTCAATGGGGTCATTGGGTCAATGGGGTCAATGGGGTCAATGGGGTCATTGGGGTCAATGGGGTCAATGGGGTCAATTGGGATCTATGGGGTCTATGGGGTCATTTAGGATCTATGGGGTCAATGGGGTCAATGGGGACAAAGGGGATCAATGGGGTCTTTTCGAATCTATGGGGTCAGTTGGGATCTATGGGGTCAATGGTGCCAATGGGGTCTCAATGGGGTCAATGGGGTCAGTTGGGATCTATGGGGCCAGTGGGGTCAATGGGGATGATTGGGGATCAATGGGATCAGTTGGAACCTATGGGGTCAATGGGATCTATGGGGTCAATGGGGTCAATTGGAATCTATGGGGTCAATGGGGTCAGTTGGGATCTATGGGGTCAGTGGGGTCAATGGGGTCAACTGGGATCTATGGGGTCAATGGCAACAATGGGGTCAGTTGGGATCTATGGGGTCAATGGTGTCAATGAGGACAGTGGCGTCAATGGAGTCAATGGGGTCAGTTGGGATCTATGGGGTCAGTTGGGATCTGTGGGGCCAATGGGGTCACTGGGTTCAATGGGGTCAGTTGGGATCTATGGGGTCAGTGGGGCCAATGGGGACAATGGGGTCATTTAGGATCTATGGGAACAATGGGGTCATTTGGGATCTATGGGGTCAATTGGGGTAAATGAGATCAACGGGGTCAGTAGGGTCAATGGGGTCAGTGGGGACAATGGGGGCAATGGGGTCAATGGGGTCAATGGGGTCAATGGGGTCAATGGGGTCAATGGGGTCAATTGGGACAATGGGGTCATTGGGGTCAATGGGGTCATTGATGTCAATGGGGTCAATGGGGTCAATGGGGTCATTGGGGTCAATGGGGTCAATGGAATCTATGGGGTCAATGGGGTCTCAATGGGGTCAGTGGTGCCAATGGAGTCAATGGGGTCAATGGGGTCTCAATGGGGTCAATGGGGTCAGTGGGGACAATGGGGTCATTGGGGTCTTTGGGGTTAATGGGGTCAATGGGGTCAATGGGGACAATGGGGACTTTGGGGTCAATGGGGCCTCAATGGGGTCAATGGGGTCAACTGGGATCTATGGGGTCAATGGGGTCAATGAGGCCAATGGGGTCAATGGAGTCAATTGGAATCTATGGGGTCAATGGGGTCAGTGGGGACAATGGGGTCAACTGGGATCTATGGGGTCAATGGGGTCAATGGGGTCAGTGTGGACAATGGGGCCAATGGGGTCATTTATTATCTATGGGGTCAATGGGGTCATTTAGGATCTATGGGGTCAATGCAGTCAATAGGGTCTCAATGGGGTCAATGGGGACTCAATGGGGTCCATAGGGATGATTGGGGATCAATGGGGTCAATTGGAACTTATGGGGTCAATGGGATCTATGGGCTCAATGGAGTCAATGGGGTCAATGGGGTGAACTGGGATCTATGGGGTCAGAGGGGTCAATGGGGTCAGTTGGGATCTATAGGGTCAATGAGGACAATGGGGTCAATGGGGTCAATGGGGATCAATGGGGTCTATGGGGTCAACTGGGATCTATGGGGCCAATGGGGTCAATGGGGTCATTGGGGTCAATGGGGTCAATGGGGTCAGTGGGGTCAATGGGATCTATGGGGTCAATGGGTTCAATGGGATCAGTGGGGTCAATTGGGATCTATGGGGTCAGTGGTGCCAATGGAGTCAATGGGGTCAATGGGGTCAATGGGGTCAATGGGATCTATGGGGTCAATGGGGTCAATGGGATCAATGGGGTCAATGGGGTCAATGGGGTCATTGGGTCAATGGGGTCAATGGGGTCAATGGGGTCAATGGGGTCAACTGGGATCTATGGGGTCAATGGGATCAATGGGGTCAATGGGGTCATTGGGGTCAACTGGATCTATGGGGTCAAATGGGTCAATGGGGACAATGGGGTCAGTGGGGTCATTTGGGATCTATGGGGTCAATGGGGTCAATGGGGGCATTGGGGTCAATGGGGTCAGTTGGGATCAATGGGGTCAATGGGGTCAATGGGGTCAATGGGGGCATTGGGGTCAATGGGGTCAATGGGGTCAATGGGATCTATGGGGTCAATGGGGTCAATGGGGTCAACTGGGATCTATGGGGTCAAATGGGTCAATGGGGACAATGGGGTCAGTGGGGTCATTTGGGATCTATGGGGTCAATGGGGTCAATGGGGTCAATGGGGTCAATGGGGGGTGGGGTGTGATGGTGACCGACGTTGACCTCTGACCTTTGACCCCCTTCCCAGAAGCCCCATGGGGCCGCATTTATGGCCGCCGTCGCCGCCGTTCCGCTGCCCCCAAAGTCGCCCCACGGCGCCACGCTGTGGGTCAGCGGCGCCGAGTGGCACCAGGGTGAGGAATGGGGCGGCTGTGGGGTTTTTTATGGGGTCAGGGGGAGATTTGGGGTGAAAAGGGGCGACTTTGGGGTTTTTATGGGGTCAGGGGGAGATTTGGGGTGAAAAGGGGCGACTTTGGGGTTTTTTATGGGGTCAGGAGGAGATTTGGGGTGAAAAGGGGCGACTTTGGGGTTTTTATGGGGTCAGGAGGAGATTTGGGGTGAAAAGCGGCGACTTTGGGGTTTTTATGGGGTCAGGAGGAGATTTGGGGTGAAAAGGGGCGACTTTGGGGTTTTTTATGGGGTCAGGAGGAGATTTGGGGTGAAAAGGGGCGACTTTGGGGTTTTTATGGGGTCAGGAGGAGATTTGGGGTGAAAAGGGGCGACTTTGGGGTTTTTTATGGGGTCAGGAGGAGATTTGGGGTGAAAAGGGGCGACTTTGGGGTTTTTTATGGGGTCAGGAGGAGATTTGGGGTGAAAAGGGGCGACTTTGGGGTTTTTATGGGGTCAGGAGGAGATTTGGGGTGAAAAGGGGCGACTTTGGGGTTTTTTATGGGGTCAGAATTTGGGGTGAAAAGGGGCGACTTTGGGGTTTTTATGGGGTCAGGAGGAGATTTGGGGTGAAAAGGGGCGACTTTGGGGTTTTTATGGGGTCAGGAGGAGATTTGGGGTGAAAAGGGGCGACTTTGGGGTTTTTTATGGGGTCAGGAGGGGATTTGGGGTGAAAAGGGGCGACTTTGGGGTTTTTATGGGGTCAGGAGGAGATTTGGGGTGAAAAGGGGCGACTTTGGGGTTTTTTATGGGGTCAGGAGGGGATTTGGGGTGAAAAGGGGCGACTTTGGGGTTTTTATGGGGTCAGGAGGAGATTTGGGGTGAAAAGGGGCGACTTTGGGGTTTTTTATGGGGTCAGGAGGAGATTTGGGGTGAAAAGGGGCGACTTTGGGGTTTTTATGGGGTCAGGGGGAGATTTGGGGTGAAAAGGGGCGACTTTGGGGTTTTTATGGGGTCAGGAGGAGATTTGGGGTGAAAAGGGGCGACTTTGGGGTTTTTTATGGGTGATGGAGGAGATTTGGGGTGAAAAGGGGCGACTTTGGGGTTTTTTATGGGTGATGGAGGAGATTTGGGGTGAAAAGGGGCGACTTTGGGGTTTTTATGGGGTCAGGAGGAGATTTGGGGTGAAAAGGGGCGACTTTGGGGTTTTTTATGGGGTTTTGGGTCACAATTTGGGGTCAATTGGGGCATTTTTGGGGTCTCTGAATGAATTTGGGGGATTTGGGTTGAAATTTTGGGGTCATTTGGGGCTTTTGGGGGTTTTTTGAGGGATTTGGGGTCAATTTTGGGGTCAATTTGGGGCTTTTTGGGGTCTCTGTGGGTTTTGGGGTCAGAATTTGGGATCATTTGGGGCTTTTTGGGGTTTTCTGTGGGATTTGGGGTCAATTTTGGGGTCAATTTGGGGCTTTTTGGGGCTGCGGGGGGCGAGGATTTGGGGTCATTTGGGGCTTTTTGGGGTCTCTGTGGGTTTTGGGGTCACAATTTGGGGTCAATTGGGGCTTTTTGGGGTCTCTGAATGAATTTGGGGGATTTGGGTTGAAATTTTGGGGTCATTCGGGGGTTTTTTGGGATCTCTGTGCAACTTGGGTCGGAATTTGGGGTCATTTGGGGCTTTTTGGGGTTTTCTGTGGGATTTGGGGTCAATTTTGGGGTCATTTGGGGCTTTTTGGGGTCTCTGTGGGACCGGGGGGGGTTTTGGGGTGGAATTTGGGGTGAAAAGGGGCGACTTTGGGGTTTTTTATGGGTTTTGGGGTCAGAATTTGGGGTCAATTGGGGCATTTTTGGGGTCTCTGTATGAATTTGGGGGATTTGGGGTTGAAATTTTGGGGTCATTTGGGGCTTTTTGGGGTTTTCTGTGCGATTCGGGGTCAATTTTGGGGTCAATTTGGGGCTTTTTGGGGTCTCTGTGGGATTTGGGGTCGGAATTTGGGGTCATTTGGGGCTTTTTGGGGTTTTCTTTGGGATTTGGGGTCAATTTTGGGGTCATTTTGGGTGTTTTTGGACCCGGAGTTTTTGGGGGGCACCAAATTTGGGGTCATTTGGGGCTTTTTGGGGTCTCTGTGGGACCGGGGGGGGTTTTGGGGTGGAATTTGGGGTGAAAATGGGGCGACTTTGGGGTCTCTGTGGGTTTTGGGGTCAGAATTTGGGGTCAATTGGGGCATTTTTGGGGTCTCTGAATGAATTTGGGGGATTTGGGTTGAAATTTTGGGGTCATTTGGGGCTTTTTTGGGGTCTCTGTGGGATTAGGGGTCAGAATTTGGGGTCAATTTGGGGCTTTTTGGGGTCTCTGTGGGACCGGGGGGGTTTTTGGGGTGGAATTTGGGGTGAAAAGGGGCGACTTTGGGGTCTCTGTGGGTTTGGGGGTTACAATTTGGGGTCAATTTGGGGCTTTTTGGGGTCTCTGTGGGTTTTGGGGTCGGAATTTGGGCTCAATTGGGGCATTTTTGGGGTCTCTGAATGAATTTGGGGAATTTGGGTTGAAATTTTGGGGTCATTTTGGGGCTTTTTTGGGGTTTTCTGTGGGATTTGGGGTCAATTTGGGGGTCAATTGGGGCATTTTTGGGGTCTCTGTGGGTTTTGGGGTCGGAATTTGGGGTCATTTGGGGCTTTTTGGGGTCTCTGTATGAATTTGGGGGATTTGGGTTGAAATTTTGGGGTCATTTGGGGCTTTTTGGGGTTTTCTGTGGGATTTGGGGTCAATTTTGGGGTCAATTTGGGGCTTTTTGGGGTCTCTGTGGGACCGGGGGTTTTTGGGGTGGAATTTGGGGTGAAAAGGGGCGACTTTGGGGTCTCTGTGGGTTTTGGGGTCAGAATTTGGGGTCAATTGGGGCTTTTTTGGGGTCTCTGTACGAATTTGGGGGATTTGGGTTGAAATTTTGGGGTCATTTTGGGGCTTTTTTGGGATCTCTGTGCAACTTGGGTCAGAATTTGGGGTCATTTGGGGCTTTTTGGGGTTTTCTGTGGGATTTGGGGTCAATTTTGGGGTCATTTGGGGCTTTTTGGGTCTCTGTGGGTTTTGGGGTCACAATTTGGGGTCATTTGGGGCTTTTTGGGGTCTCTGTGGGATCGGGGGGGGTTTTTGGGGTGGAATTTGGGGTGAAAATGGGGAGGATTTGGGGTCTCTGTTGGGTTTTGGGGTCGGAATTTGGGGTCAATTGGGGCTTTTTTGGGGTCTCTGAATGAATTTGGGGGATTTGGGGTTGAAATTTTGGGGTCATTTTGGGGCTTTTTTGGGATCTCTGTGCAACTTGGGTCGGAATTTGGGGTCATTTGGGGCTTTTTGGGGTTTTCTGTGGGATTTGGGGTCAATTTTGGGGTCATTTGGGGCTTTTTGGGGTCTCTGTGGGATCGGGGGGGGTTTTGGTGTCAGAATTCGGGGTGAAAAGGGGCGACTTTGGGGTCTCTGTGGGTTTTGGGGTCAGAATTTGGGGTCAATTGGGGCTTTTTTGGGGTCTCTGAATGAATTTGGGGGATTTGGGTTGAAATTTTGGGGTCATTTGGGGCTTTTTTGGGGTTTTCTGTGCGATTCGGGGTCAATTTTGGGGTCAATTTGGGGCTTTTTGGGGTCTCTGTGGGTTTTGGGGTCAGAATTTGGGGTCATTTGGGGCTTTTTGGGGCTTTTTGAGGGATTTGGGGTCAATTTTGGGGTCAATTTGGGGCTTTTTGGGGCTACGAGGGGCGAGGATTTGGGGTCATTTGGGGCTTTTTGGGGTCTCTGTGGGTTTTGGGGTCACAATTTGGGGTCATTTGGGGCTTTTTGGGGTCTCTGTGGGTTTTGGGGGATTTGGGTTGAAATTTTGGGGTCATTTTGGGGCTTTTTTGGGATCTCTGTGCAACTTGGGTCGGAATTTGGGGTCATTTGGGGCTTTTTGGGGTTTTCTGTGGGATTTGGGGTCAATTTTGGGGTCAATTTGGGGCTTTTTGGGGTTTTCTGTGGGTTTTGGGGTCACAATTTGGGGTCATTTGGGGCTTTTTGGGGTCTCTGTGGGACCGGGGGGGGGGTTGGGGTGGAATTTGGGGTGAAATGGGGCGGATTTGGGGCTCTTCCCCCAGATTTTGGGCTCTTCCTGACCCACTCCGACGGCTCCATGTGGGGCTGCCCAGCCTGGGGGCGGGGAGGCGCCCAGAGCCAACGCTGGCACCGAAGGAAGGTGAGAGAGGGGCCATAGGGGGCGAAATGGGGTTGATGTGGGGCGATATGGGGTGATATGGGGCGATATGGGGTGATATGGGGTGCTATGGGGCGATATGGGGTCGATATGGGGCGATATGGGGCAATATGGGGTCTATATGGGGTGCTATGGGGCGATATGGGGTCGATATGGGGCGATATGGGGTCAATGTGGGGCGATATGGGTCAATATGGGGTCAATAAGGAATGATATGGGGCGATATGGGGTCAATGTGGGGCAATATGGGGCGATATGGGGTGATATGGGGCGACATGGGGTCAATGTGGGGCGATATGGGGAGATATGGGGCGATATGGGGTCAATATGGGGCGATATGGGGTCAATGTGGGGCGATATGGGGTGATATGTATCGATATAGGGCAATATGGGGTGATATGGGGTCAATATGGGGCGATATGGGGTCAATGTGGGGCGATATGGGGAGATATGGGGTCGATATGGGGTGATATGGGGTCAATGTGGGGCGATATGGGGTGATATGGGTCGATATGGGGCGATATGGGGTCGATATGGGGCGATATGGGGTCAATGTGGGGCGATATGGGGTGATATGGGGTCAATATGGGGTGAAATGGGGTGATATGGGGCGAAATGGGGTCAATGTGGGGCGATATGGGGTCAATGTGGGGCGATATGGGGAGATATGGGGCGATATGGGGTCAATGTGGGGCGATATGGGGTGATATGGGGCCATATGGGGCCATATGGGGCGAAATGGGGTCAATGTGGGGCGATATGGGGTCAATGTGGGGCGATATGGGGAGATATGGGGCCATATGGGGCGAAATGGGGTCAATGTGCGGCGATATGGGGTGATATGTATCGATATGGGGCGATATGGGGTGATATGGGGTCAATATGGGGCGATATGGGGTCAATGTGGGGCGATATGGGGTGATATGGGGCCATATGGGGCGAAATGGGGTCAATGTGGGGCAAAATGGCGTGATATGGGGTCGATATGGGGCGATATGGGGAGCTATGGGGCGATATGGGGTCGATGTGGGGTCGATATGGGGCGATATGGGGTCGATATGGGGCGATATGGGGTCAATGTGGGGCGATATGGGGAGATATGGGGTCGATATGGGGTCGATATGGGGTCAATGTGGGGCGATATGGGGTGATATGGGGCGACATGGGGTTGATATGGGGCAATATGGGGCCATATGGGGCCATATGGGGCGATGTGGGGTCAATGTGGGGCGATATGGGTCAATATGGGGTCAATAAGGAAGGATATGGAGCAATATGGGGTGATATGGGGTCAATGTGGGGCGATATGGGGTGATATGGGGAGATATGGGGTCAATGTGGGGCGATATGGGGTGATATGGGGCGATATGGGGTCAATGTGGGGCGATATGGGGTGATATGGGGTCGATATGGGGTCAATATGGGGCGATATGGGGTCAATGTGGGGCGATATGGGGAGATATGGGGTCGTTATGGGGTCAATATGGGGCGAAATGGGGTCAATGTGGGGCGATATGGGGCGATATGGGGCCATACGGGGCGATGTGGGGTCAATGTGGGGCGATATGGGTCAATGTGGGGCGATATGGGGTGATATGGGTCGATATGGGGCGATATGGGGAGATATGGGGCGATATGGGGTCAATGTGGGGCGATATGGGGTGATATGGGGCCATATGGGGCGAAATGGGGTCAATGTGGGGCGATATGGGGCCATATGGGGCTATGTGGGGTCAGTGTGGGGCGATATGGGGTCGATATGGGGCGAAATGGGGTTCGATGTGGGTCTCTATGGGGTCAATATGGGGCGATATGGGTTCGATGTGGGTCGATACGGGGCAATATGGGGCTCTATGGGGCTCTATGGGGTCTTTATGGGTCTCTATGGGTCTCTATGGGGCTCTATGGGTCCCTATGGGTCTCTGTGGGTCTCTATGGGTCTCTATGGGGCTCTATGGGGCTCTATGGGCTCTATGGGTCCCTATGGGGCTCTATGGGGCTCTATGGGGCTCTATGGGCTCTATGGGGTCTCTATGGGTCTCTATGGGTCTCTATGGTCTCTATGGGTCTCTATGGGTCTCTATGGGGCTCTATGGGTCCCTATGGGTCTCTGTGGGGCTCTATGGGTCTCTATGGGGCTCTATGGCTCCCTATGGGTTCCTATGAGGCTCTATGGGTCTCTATGGGTCTCTATGGGGCTCTATGGGGCTCTATGGGTCTCTATGGGGCTCTATGGCTCCCTATGGGTTCCTATGAGGCTCTATGGGTCTCTATGGGGCTCTATGGGGCTCTATGGGGCTCTATGGGGCTCTATGGGTCCCTATGGGTCCCTATGGGGCTCTATGGGGCTCTATGGGTCTCTATGGGTCTCTATGGGGCTCTATGGGTCTCTATGGGGCTCTATGGGTCTCTATGGGTCCCTATGGTTCTCTATGGGTCTCTATGGGTCCCTATGGGTCTCTATAGGGCTCTATGGGGCTCTATGGGTCTCTATGGGTCTCTATGGGTCTCTATGGTCTCTATGGGTCTCTATGGGTCTCTATGGGGCTCTATGGGTCCCTATGGGTCTCTGTGGGGCTCTATGGGTCTCTATGGGGCTCTATGGCTCCCTATGGGTTCCTATGAGGCTCTATGGGTCTCTATGGGTCTCTATGGGGCTCTATGGGGCTCTATGGGTCTCTATGGGGCTCTATGGCTCCCTATGGGTTCCTATGAGGCTCTATGGGTCTCTATGGGGCTCTATGGGGCTCTATGGGGCTCTATGGGGCTCTATGGGTCCCTATGGGTCCCTATGGGGCTCTATGGGTCTCTATGGGTCTCTATGGGTCTCTATGGGTCTCTATGGGTCTCTATGGGGCTCTATGGGTCTCTATGGGTCCCTATGGTTCTCTATGGGTCTCTATGGGTCCCTATGGGTCTCTATAGGGCTCTATGGGGCTCTATGGGTCTCTATGGGTCTCTATGGGTCTCTATGGGTCCCTATGGCTCCCTATGGGTCCCGCCGTTCCCAGGTCTCCCAGCAGGGGGCGCTTTTGGGCCGTTTGGGGGCGGCGCTGGTGACGTCATCGCGGGACGGAAGCGTCCGCGTGTGGCACCCGAGGGGCGGGGCTCCGGTGAGGGGGGCGGGGCTTCGCCGTGGGGGCGGGGCTTCATTAGGCGGCGTTTCCCCCCTGCACACCTCAGGGGGGCGGGGCTTTCGGGGGAAGGGGGCGGGGCTCCGCCGAGTGGGCGGGGCTTCCTTGGGTTGTTCTTACCTCCCTGAAGGGGGGAGGGGCTTATGGGAAGGGGCGGGGTTTAACCAAGGGGGCGGGGCCTCCTTGGGTGGTGTTCGGCCCTGGGGGAGGGGCTTAACCGAGGGGGGCGGGGCTTCATTTGGTTTCTTCTTGTCCCCAGTTCAACCCAGTTGGCCCCCAGTCCCTCCCAGTTCCTCCCAGTCCCTCCCAGTCCCTCCCAGTCCCTCCCAGTCCATCCCAGTCCCTCCCAGTCCATCCCAGTCCCTCCCAGTCCCTCCCAGTCCCTCCCAGTCCATCCCAGTTCCTCCCAGTCCCTCCCAGTCCCTCCCAGTTCCTCCCAGTCCCTCCCAGTTCCTCCCAGTCCCTCCCAGTTCCTCCCAGTCCCTCCCAGTCCCTCCCAGTCCCTCCCAGTCCCTCCCAGTCCATCCCAGTGCATCCCAGTTCCTCCCAGTTCATCCCAGTTCATCCCAGTCCCTCCCAGTCCCTCCCAGTCCATCCCAGTGCATCCCAGTTCCTCCCAGTTCATCCCAGTTCATCCCAGTCCCTCCCAGTCCCTCCCAGTCCATCCCAGTCCCTCCCAGTCCCTCCCAGTCCATCCCAGTTCATCCCAATCCCTCCCAGTCCATCCCAGTCCATCCCAGTGCATCCCAGTTCCTCCCAGTTCATCCCAGTCCCTCCCAGTTCCTCCCAGTCCCTCCCAGTTCCTCCCAGTCCATCCCAGTTCCTCCCAGTTCCTCCCAGTCCATCCCAGTCCATCCCAGTCCCTCCCAGTTCATCCCAGTTCATCCCAGTCCCTCCCAGTCCCTCCCAGTTCCTCCCAGTCCCTCCCAGTTCATCCCAGTCCCTCCCAGTCCCTCCCAGTTCCTCCCAGTCCCTCCCAGTCCATCCCAGTTCCTCCCAGTCCCTCCCAGTGCATCCCAGTTCCTCCCAGTTCATCCCAGTTCATCCCAGTTCCTCCCAGTCCATCCCAGTCCCTCCCAGTCCCTCCCAGTTCCTCCCAGTCCCTCCCAGTTCATCCCAGTCCATCCCAGTCCATCCCAGTTCCTCCCAGTCCCTCCCAGTTCATCCCAGTTGCCCCCAGTTGCCCCCAATTCACCCCAGTTGCTCCCAGTTCATCCCAGTTGGCCACCAGTTGCCCCCAGTTGCCCCCAATTGCCCCCAGTTGGCCACCAGTTGCTCCCAGTTCACCCCATTGGCCACCAGTTGCTCCCAGTTCATCCCATTGGCCACCAGTTCAACCCAGTTGCTCCCAGTTGCTCCCAGTTGCCCCCAGTTGCCCCCAGTTGCTCCCAGTTCATCCCATTGGCCACCAGTTCGTCCCAGTTGCTCCCAGTTGCTCCCAGTTGCCCCCAGTTGCCCCCAGTTGCTCCCAGTTCACCCCATTGACCACCAGTTGCTCCCAGTTGCTTCCAGTTGCCCCCTGTTGGCCACCAGTTCACCCCAGTTGCCACCAGTTGCTCCCAGTTGCTCCCAGTTGCCCCCATTTGCTCCCAGTTCACCCCAGTTGGCCACCAGTTGCCCCCAGTTGCACCCAGTTGCCCACCAGTTCAACCCCATTGGCCACCAGTTGCTCCCAGTTGCTCCCAGTTGCCTCCATTTGCTCCCAGTTCACCCCAGTTGCCACCAGTTGCTCCCAGTTGCTCCCAGTTGCCCCCAGTTGCCCACCAGTTCGTCCCAGTTGCCCACCAGTCGCTCCCAGTTCACCCCATTGGCCCCCAGTTCATCCCATTGACCACCAGTTGCCCCCAGTTGCCCCCAGTTGGCCCCCAGTTCATCCCAGTTGGCCACCAGTTGCCCCCAGTTGCCCCCAGTTGCCCATCCCACTGGCTGCCAGTTCACCCCAGTCGCCCCCAGTTCATCCCAGTTGGCCACCAGTTGCTCCCAGTTCAACCTCATTGGCCACCAATTCATCCCAGTTGCCACCAGTTGCTCCCAGTTACTCCCAGTTGCCCCCAGTTGCCCTCAATTGGTCACCAGTTGCCCCCAGTTCACCCCAGTTGCCCCCAGTTGCCCCCAATTGGCCACCAGTTCATCCCAGTTGCCCCCAGTTGCTCCCAGTTGCTCCCAGTTACTCCCAGTTGCCCCCAGTTGCCCCCAATTGCCCCCAATTGCCCCCAATTGGCCACCAGTTGCCCCCAGTTGCCCCCAGTTCAACCCCATTGACCACCAGTTCATCCCAGTTGGCAACCAGTTGCTCCCAGTTGCCCTCAATTGGTCACCAGTTGCCCCCAGTTCACCCCAGTTGCCCCCTGTTGCTCCCAGTTGCCCCCAGTTGCCCCCAGTTCACCCCATTGGCCACCAGTTGCCCCCAGTTGGCCACCAGTTCATCCCAGTTGGCCACCAGTTGCTCCCAGTTCACCCCATTGGCCACCAGTTGCTCCCAGTTGCTCCCAGTTGCCCCCAGTTGCCCCCAGTTCACCCCAGTTGCCCACCAGTTCAACCCAGTTGCCACCAGTTGCTCCCAGTTCATCCCAGTTGGCCACCAATTGCTCCCAGTTGCCCCCAGTTGCTCCCAGTTCATCCCATTGGCCACCAGTTCATCCCAGTTGGCCACCAGTTGCCCCCAGTTGCCCCCAGATGCCCACCAGTTCATCCCAGTTGCCCCCAGTTCAACCCCATTGACCACCAGTTCATCCCAGTTGGCAACGAGTTGCTCCCAGTTGCCCCCAGTTGCCCTCAATTGGTCACCAGTTGCCCCCAGTTCACCCCATTTGCCCCCAGTTCATCCCAGTTGGCCACCAGTTGCTCCCAGTTCACCCCATTGGCCACCAGTTGCCCCCAGCTCACCCCAGTTGCCCACCAGTTCAACCCAGTTGCCCACCAGTTGCCCCCAGTTGCCCACCAGTTCACCCCATTGGCCACCAGTTGCTCCCAGTTGCTCCCAGTTGCCCCCAGTTGCCCCCAGTTCACCCCAGTTGCCCACCAGTTCATCCCAGTTGGCCACCAGTTGCTCCCAGTTCACCCCATTGCCCACCAGTTGCTCCCAGTTGCCCCCAGTTCCCCCCATTGGCCACCAGTTGCCCCCATTGTCCCCAATGGGAATCAGAGCGGAGGGCGGAGCTAACGGAGAGGGGCGTTGCCACCCGACCGGAAGTGCCCCCCCCCTCCCGCTAAGCCCCGCCCCTCCACTTCCGGCAGCTCTCCCATTACCGTTGCTCCGCCCCCATCACCGCCATGGCGACGAGGCCACGCCCCTCGCCCAACGCCGCGCCCGGATTGGCTGTGGGCGACGAAGGGGGGCGGGTCTACATCCTGCGCTGGGACACGCCCCCTGCTTGAAGCCACGCCCCAAACCGGATCCAAGCCACGCCCCTTTCACTGCCCCTCCAATCAGCGTCCAATAAAGACCTTTGGCTCCGCCTCCTTGTCGTGACGTCATCGACGTGGCCACGCCCGCCCCCCCCCCCCAATTGGACGGCTCAGTCGTAGCCAAAGTGCTGCCTCATTTGCATAACCACGCCCCCACTGTGTCCCTATGGGTCTCTATGGGTCTCTGTGGATCGCTATGGGGTTCTATGGGGTTTCTATGGGTCTCCATGAGTCCCTATGGGTCTCTATGGGTCTCAGTGGGTCTCTATGGGGCTCTATGGGTCCTTATGGGTCTCTATGGGGCTCTATGGGGTCTCTATGGGTCTCCGTGGGTCTCAGTGGGTCTCTATGGGTCTCTATGGGTCTCTATGGGTCTCAGTGGGTCTCTATGGGTCTCTATGGGTCTCTATGGGTCCCTATCGGTCTCTATGGGTCTCAATGGGTCTCTATGGGTCTCTATGGGTCTCTATGGGGTCTCTATGGGTCCCTATGGGTCTCTATGGGTCTCTGTGGGTCCCTATGGGTCCCTATGGGGCTCTATGGGGTCTCTATGGGTCTCTATGGGTCTCTGTGGGTCTCTATGGGTCTCTATGGGTTCTTATGGGTCTCTATGGGTCCCTATGGGTCTCTATGGGTCTCTATGGGTCTCTATGGGTCTCTGTGGGTCCCTATGGGTCCCTATGGGTCTCTATGGGTCTCTATGGGTCTCTGTGGGTCTCTATGGGTCTCTATGGGTCCCTATCGGTCTCCATGGGTCTCTATGAGTCGCTATGGGGCGGCCGACTCCCCCCATTGCCCCACAAGTCCTGTGTCCTATTGCCCCCATTGACCCCAATGACGACACAGAGGCGGATTTGGGATCGGGGGGGGGGGGGGGAGGAGGAAGCCGAGCTTCATTGTAGGGTCAAAGTTCAAAGTTCAAAGTTGAAAGTTCAAAGGTCAAAGGTCAGTCCCTCCACGTGACCTCCACCTCATCCGTGCGGTACCTGGGGGGACGGCAGCGTCACCACGGCCCCACTGACCCCACTGACCCCATTGACCCCATTGACCCCATTGACCCCATTGATCCTCATTGACCCCATGGACTCCAATATCCCCACTGACCCCATAAATCCCATAAGCCCCACTGATGTCCCCTTTGTCCCCACTGACCCCATTGCCCCCATTGCCCCTATTGACCTCAATGTCCGCCTTGACCCCATAGACCCCAATGTGTCCCCATTGCCCCCATTGATCCCATTTGATCCCAATTGACCCCATTGACCCCAATGTCCTCATTGACCCCATTGACCCCACTGACCCCATTGACCCCATTGACCCCATTGATCCCATTGACTCCATTGACCCTACTGACCCCATTGACCCCATTGACCCCATTGACCCCATTGATCCCATTGACCCCATTGCCCCCATTGTTCCCATTAACCCCATGGACCCCAATATCCCCACTGACCCCATAAATCCCATAAGCCCCATTGATGTCCCCATTGATCCCATTGACCCCATTGACCCCAATGTGTCCCCATTGATCCCATTGACCCCATTGACCCCATTGATCCCATTGGCCCCATTGAGACGCCATTGATCCCCATTGATCCCATTGATCCCATTGACCCCATTGATCCCATTGCCCCCATTGACCCCATTGATCCCATTGACCCCATTGATCCCTTTGCCCCCATTGATCCCATTGACCCCATTGACCCCATTGATCCCATTGATCCCATTGACCCCATTGACCCCAATGTGTCCCCATTGATCCCATTGACCCCATTGATCCCATTCTCCCCACTGACCCCATTGCCCCCATTGCCCCCATTGACCCCATTGATCCCATTGATCCCATTGACCCCATTGATCCCATTGACTCCATTGATCCCATTGACCCCATTGACCCCATTGACCCCATTGATCCCACTGACCCCATTGATCCCTTTGACCCCATTGCCCCTATTGACCTCAATGTCTGCCTTGACCCCATAGACCCCAATGTCCCCAATGTCCCCACTGACCCCATAGATCCCAATGCTCTCATTGCCCCCATTGACCCCAATGCCCCCATTGACCCCAATGCCCCCATTGACCCCATAGACCCCATTGACCCCACTGACCCAATGCCCCCATTGACCCCAATCTCCTGAATGATCCCATTGACCCCATAGACTCCACTGACCCCATTGCCCCCATTGACCCCATTGACCCCACTGACCCCATTGACCCCAAAGACCCCATTGCCCCCATTGCCCCTATTGACCCCGTTGCCCCCATTGACCCCATTGCCCCCCTTGACCCCAATGCCCCCGTTGACCCCACAGACCCCGCTGCCCCCACTGACCCCAAATCCCACCTCTGCGTGATGCCGGACTCCCGGATCTCTGTTATCTGCCCGCTGCGCAGCATCTCCCACCCGGCCTGAGCGATCATCGCCCCGTTGTCCACGCAGAACCTGCGCCCATGTTCACCCCATGGAGACCCCACTGAGACCCCACTGACCCCATGGAGACCCCAGCGACCCCATTGACCCCATTGAGACCCCACTGACCGCATTGACCCCATTGAGAACCCATTGACCCCACTGAGACCCCAGTGACCCCATTGAGACCCCATTGACCCTACTGAGACCCCAGTGACCCCATTGAGACCCCACTGACCCCACTGACCCCACTGAGACCCCAGTGACCCCATATAGACCACGCTGACCCACTGAGACCCCATATAGACTCCATTGACCCCATGGAGACCCCACTGATCCCATTGAGACCCCATTGATCCCCATTGACCCCATGGAGACCCCACTGAGACCCCAGTGAACCCATGGAGACCCCACTGATCCCATTGAGATCCCACTGACCCCACTGAAACCCCACTGACCCCATTGAGACCCCATTGATCCCCAATGACCCCATGGAAACCCCACTGACCCCATTGACCCCACTGAGACCCCATTGACCCCATGGAGACCCCACTGAGACCCCAGTGAACCCATTGAGACCCCACTGACCCCACTGATCCCATTGAGAACCCAGTGACCCCATTAAAACCCATTGACCCCATTGAAACCCCATTGACCCCATCAAGACCCCATTGACCCCACTGACCCCACTGACCCCACTGAGACCCCACTGACCCCATTGAGACCCCATTGATCCCCAATGACCCCATTGAGACCCCATTGACCCCATTGAAAACCCATTGACCCCATTGAGATCCCAGTGACCCCATTGAGACCCCCCGGACCCCATTGAAAACCCATTGACCCCATCAAGACCCCATTGATCCCATTGAGACCCCATTGATCCCATTTAAACCCCATTGACCCCACTGAGACCCCACTGACCCCATTGAAACCCCACTGACCCCATATAGACCCCATTGACCCACTGAGACCCCATAGAGACCACATTGACCCACTGAGACCCCAACGACCCCATTGACCCCATTGAGACCCCATTGACCCTATAGACGCCACAACCTCCCCGACCCCATAACCACCCCCGACCCCATAACCCTACTGACCCCACAGACCCCACTTGACCCCATAACCCCACTGACCCCATAACCCCCCCGACCCCATAACCGCCATAGACCCATAACCTCCCCCTGACCCCACAACCCCCCCCTGACCCCACAACCCCCCCTGACCCCATTGACCCCATAACCCCCCTGACCCCACAACCCCCCTGACCCCATTGACCCCATAACCCCACTGACCCCATAACCCCCCCGACCCCACAACCCCCCCCTGACCCCAACCCCCCCCTGACCCCACAACCCCCCCCTGACCCCAACCCCCCCCGACCCCATAACCCCCCCACACCCCACAACCCCTCTGACCCCATAACCCCCCACTGACCCCATTGACCCCATAACCCCCCTGACCCCATAGACCCCATAGCCCCCCCAACCCCATAAACCCCACTGACCCCACAACCCCCTGACCCCATAACCCCCCCTGACCCCATTGACCCCATAGACCCCCCCTGCCCCCCCAACCTCCCCCAACCCCATTGACCCCACTGACCCCCCAACCCCCCTGACCCTATTGATCCCCTGACCCCACAACTTCCCCTGATCCCCCAACCCCCCCGGCTCCACAACCCCCCCCAATCCTATAACCCCCCCTGACCCCACAACCCCCCCGACCCCATTGACCCCACTGACCCCCCTGACCCCATAACCCCCCCTGACCCCATTGACCCCCTGACTTCATAGACCCCATAGCCCCCCCCGACCCCATAACCCCCCACTGACTCCATTGACCCCATAACCCCCCCTGACCCCATTGACCCCCTGACCCCACAACCCCCCCTGACCCCATAACCCCCCCCTGACCCCACAACCCCCCCTGACCCCATAACCCCCCCCTGACCCCATAGACCCCATAGCCCCCCCAACCCCATAAACCCCACTGACCCCACAACCCCCCTGATCCCATAACCCCCCCTGACCCCATAGACCCCCCAACCCCCCCGGCCCCACAACCTGTCGTCGCTGGCGCACAGCCGGGCCCCCCTGGCTCTGCACATCACCTCCAGCATCTCCTGCAGCCGCCCGTTACCTGCGGACCCCAAAGACCCCATAAACCCCAATGGGACCCCAAAGACCCCATAAACCCCAATGAGACCCCAATGGGACCCCATAAACCCCAATGGGACCCCATAAACCCCAATGGGACCCCAATGAGACCCCATAAACCCCAATGACCCCAATGGGACCCCATAAACCCCAATCTGACCCCAAAAACCCTGCTGACCCCAATGTGACCCCAATGGGACCCCATAAACCCCAATGGGACCCCAAAAACCCCACAGACCCCAATGAGACCCCAATGGAGCCCCATAAACCCCAATGGGACCCCAAAAACACCATAGACCCCAATGTGACCCCAAAGACCCCATAAACCCCAATCTGAAACCAGAAACCCCACTGACCCCACTGACCCCAATGGGACCCCATAAACCCCAATGGGACCCCAAAACCCCCATTGCCCCCATTGCCCCCATTGCCCCCAATGCCCCCAATGCCCCCATTGCCCCCAATGCCCCCATTGCCCCCATTGCCCCCATTGCCCCCAATGCCCCCATTGCCCCCAATGCCCCCATTGCCCCCATTGCCCCCAATGCCCCCAATGCCCCCATTGCCCCCATTGCCCCCAATGCCCCCATTGCCCCCAATGCCCCCATTGCCCCCAATGCCCCCATTGCCCCCATTGCCCCCATTGCCCCCAATGCCCCCAATGCCCCCATTGCCCCCAATGCCCCCAATGCCCCCATTGCCCCCATTGCCCCCATTGCCCCCATTGCCCCCAATGCCCCCATTGCCCCCAATGCCCCCAATGCCCCCAATGCCCCCAATGCCCCCATTGCCCCCATTGCCCCCATTGCCCCCAATGCCCCCATTGCCCCCAATGCCCCCATGCCCCCAATGCCCCCATTGCCCCCAATGCCCCCAATGCCCCCATTGCCCCCAATGCCCCCATTGCCCCCAATGCCCCCATTGCCCCCAATGCCCCCATTGCCCCCAATGCCCCCATTGCCCCCAATGCCCCCATGCCCCCAATGCCCCCATTGCCCCCATTGCCCCCAATGCCCCCAATGCCCCCATTGCCCCCAATGCCCCCATTGCCCCCAATGCCCCCAATGCCCCCATTGCCCCCATTGCCCCCATTGCCCCCAATGCCCCCAATGCCCCCATTGCCCCCAATGCCCCCATTGCCCCCATTGCCCCCAATGCCCCCAATGCCCCCATTGCCCCCATTGCCCCCAATGCCCCCAATGCCCCCATTGCCCCCATTGCCCCCAATGCCCCCATTGCCCCCAATGCCCCCAATGCCCCCAATGCCCCCATTGCCCCCAATGCCCCCAATGCCCCCAATGCCCCCATTGCCCCCAATGCCCCCAATGCCCCCATTGCCCCCATTGCCCCCAATGCCCCCATTGCCCCCATTGCCCCCATGCCCCCATTGCCCCCAATGCCCCCATTGCCCCCAATGCCCCCAATGCCCCCATTGCCCCCAATGCCCCCATTGCCCCCATTGCCCCCATTGCCCCCAATGCCCCCAATGCCCCCAATGCCCCCATTGCCCCCATTGCCCCCAATGCCCCCATTGCCCCCAATGCCCCCAATGCCCCCAATGCCCCCATTGCCCCCATTGCCCCCATTGCCCCCAATGCCCCCAATGCCCCCATTGCCCCCATTGCCCCCAATGCCCCCATTGCCCCCAATGCCCCCATTGCCCCCATTGCCCCCAATGCCCCCATTGCCCCCATTGCCCCCAATGCCCCCATTGCCCCCAATGCCCCCATTGCCCCCAATGCCCCCATTGCCCCCATTGCCCCCAATGCCCCCATTGCCCCCAATGCCCCCATTGCCCCCAATGCCCCCATTGCCCCCAATGCCCCCAATGCCCCCATTGCCCCCATTGCCCCCATTGCCCCCAATGCCCCCATTGCCCCCATTGCCCCCAATGCCCCCATTGCCCCCAATGCCCCCATTGCCCCCAATGCCCCCATTGCCCCCAATGCCCCCAATGCCCCCATTGCCCCCATTGCCCCCAATGCCCCCAATGCCCCCATTGCCCCCAATGCCCCCATTGCCCCCAATGCCCCCATTGCCCCCATTGCCCCCAATGCCCCCATTGCCCCCAATGCCCCCATTGCCCCCAATGCCCCCATTGCCCCCAATGCCCCCAATGCCCCCATTGCCCCCATTGCCCCCATTGCCCCCAATGCCCCCATTGCCCCCATTGCCCCCATTGCCCCCAATGCCCCCAATGCCCCCAATGCCCCCAATGCCCCCAATGCCCCCATTGCCCCCAATGCCCCCAATGCCCCCATTGCCCCCAATGCCCCCATTGCCCCCATTGCCCCCAATGCCCCCATTGCCCCCATTGCCCCCATTGCCCCCAATGCCCCCATTGCCCCCATTGCCCCCAATGCCCCCATTGCCCCCAATGCCCCCATTGCCCCCAATGCCCCCAATGCCCCCATTGCCCCCATTGCCCCCATTGCCCCCAATGCCCCCATTGCCCCCATTGCCCCCAATGCCCCCAATGCCCCCATTGCCCCCAATGCCCCCATTGCCCCCATTGCCCCCAATGCCCCCATTGCCCCCATTGCCCCCAATGCCCCCATTGACCCCAATGCCCCCATTGCCCCCATTGCCCCCATTGACCCCAATGCCCCCATTGCCCCCAATGCCCCCAATGCCCCCATTGCCCCCAATGCCCCCATTGACCCCAATGCCCCCAATGCCCCCATCGACCCCAAAACCCCCATAGACTCCCCAAGCCATTGCCCCCATTGCCCCCATCGACCCCATAGACCCCAATCCCCCATTGACCCCAAAGCCCCCAATGCCCCCATTGACCCCATTGACCCCATTGCCCCCATTGACCCCAATGCCCCCATTGCCCCCATTGACCCCAATGCCCCCATTGCCCCCATTGCCCCCATTGACCCCAATGCCCCCATTGCCCCCAATCCCCCATTGACCCCAAAGCCCCCATTGACCCCAATGCCCCCAAGCCCCCATTGCCCCCATTGACCCCAATGCCCCCATTGCCCCACTGACCCCCTTCATCCCATTGACCCCATTGACCCCAATGCCCCCAATGCCCCCATTTCCCCCATTGACCCCATTGACCCCAATGCTCCCATTGGCCCCATTGCCCCCATTGACCCCCAATTCCCCCATTGCCCCCCCGGCCCCAAATCCCCCATAGACCCCAATGCCCCCATTGCCCCCATGCCCCCATTGACCCCCATTGCCCCCATTGCCCCCATTGACCCCAATGCCCCCAATGCCCCCATTGACCCCAATGCCCCCATTGCCCCCATTGCCCCCAATGCCCCCATTGCCCCCATTGCCCCCAATGCCCCCATTGACCCCCAATGCCCCCATTGCCCCCATTGCCCCCAATGCCCCCAATGCCCCCATTGCCCCCATTGCCCCCAATGCCCCCATTTCCCCCATAGACCCCAAAGCCCCCATTGACCCCATTGCCCCCATTGATTCCAATGCCCCCATTGCCCCCAAAGCTCCCAAAGCCCCCATCGACCCCATTGACCCCAAATGCCCCCATTGACCCCAAAGCCCCCATTTCCCCCATAGACCCCAAAGCCCCCATTGACCCCAAATCCCCCAATGCCCCCATCGACCCCAAAACCCCCATAGACTCCACCAACGCCATTGGCCCCCAAAGCCTCCATCGACCCCATAGACCCCAAATCCCCCATTGACCCCAAAGCCCCCATAGACCCCAATGTCCCCATTGACCCCAAATCCCCCATAGACCCCAATGCCCCCATTGCCCCCAATGCCCCCAATGCCCCCATTGGCCCCATTGACCCCGTAACCCCCAATTCCCCCATAACCCCCCAGGCCCCAAATCCCCCATTGACCCCAAAGCCCCATTGACCCCATCGACCCCAAAGCCCCCATTGACCCCAAAGCCCCATTGACCCCATTGCCCCCATTGACCCCAAAGCCCCCATTGACCCCATCGACCCCAAAGCCCCCATCAACCCCACTGACCCCAATGCCCCCATTGACCCCAAATTCCCCATTGCCCCCATTGCCCCCATTGCCCCCAATGCCCCCATTTCCCCCATTGCCCCCAATGCCCCCATTGCCCCCATTGCCCCCATTGCCCCCATTGCCCCCAATGCCCCCAATGCCCCCATTGCCCCCAATGCCCCCAATGCCCCCATTGCCCCCAATGCCCCCATTGCCCCCAATGCCCCCATTGCCCCCAATGCCCCCAATGCCCCCATTGCCCCCATTGCCCCCAATGCCCCCATTGCCCCCAATGCCCCCATTGCCCCCAATGCCCCCATTGCCCCCATTGCCCCCATTGCCCCCATTGCCCCCAATTGCCCCCATTGCCCCCATTGCCCCCAATGCCCCCATTGCCCCCAATTGCCCCCATTGCCCCCATTGCCCCCAATGCCCCCAATGCCCCCATTGCCCCCATTGCCCCCATTGCCCCCAATGCCCCCATTGCCCCCATTGCCCCCAATTGCCCCCATTGCCCCCATTGCCCCCAATGCCCCCATTGCCCCCAATGCCCCCATTGCCCCCATTGCCCCCATTGCCCCCAATGCCCCCATTGCCCCCATTGCCCCCATTGCCCCCATTGCCCCCATTGCCCCCAATGCCCCCATTGCCCCCAATGCCCCCATTGCCCCCATTGCAATGCCCCCATTGCCCCCATTGCCCCCAATGCCCCCATTGCCCCCATTGCCCCCAATGCCCCCATTGCCCCCATTGCCCCCATTGCCCCCATTGCCCCCAATGCCCCCAATGCCCCCATTGCCCCCAATGCCCCCAATGCCCCCATTGCCCCCATTGCCCCCAATGCCCCCATTGCCCCCAATGCCCCCAATGCCCCCATTGCCCCCATTGCCCCAATGCCCCCATTGCCCCCAATGCCCCCATTGCCCCCATTGCCCCCAATGCCCCCAATGCCCCCAATGCCCCCAATGCCCCCATTGCCCCCATTGCCCCCATTGCCCCCAATGCCCCCATTGCCCCCAATGCCCCCAATGCCCCCAATGCCCCCAATGCCCCCATTGCCCCCAATGCCCCCATTGCCCCCATTGCCCCCATTGCCCCCAATGCCCCCAATGCCCCCATTGCCCCCAATGCCCCCATTGCCCCCAATGCCCCCATTGCCCCCATTGCCCCCAATGCCCCCAATGCCCCCATTGCCCCCAATGCCCCCATTGCCCCCATTGCCCCCATTGCCCCCAATGCCCCCACTACTGCCCCCCTGCTACCCCCCTGCTACCCCCCTGCTACCCCCCTGCTGCCCCACTGCTGCCCCACTGCTGTCCCCCATTGCCCCCCTGCTGCCCACTGACCCCCCTGTCCCCGCAGTGCCCCCCTCCCCCCATCTCTGCGGTGACGTTTGCTGACGTTCGCCGGCTGCTGGTGGCTGCAGGGCGGCACCTGGAGGAGTGGGAGCTGCGGGGGGGACCCAGGTCAGCAGCACCGACCCCAGTGACCCCAATGACCCCAACAACCCCATTGAGACCCCATTGACCCCATTGAGCCACATTGACCCCATTGAGACCCCACTGACCCCATTGAGATCCCATTGATCCCCATTGACCCCATTGAGACCCCATTGGCCCCATTGACCCCATTGAGACCCATTGACCCCATTGAGACCCCATTGGCCCCATTGATCCCCATTGACCCCATTGAGACCCCATTGGCCCCATTGAGACCCCACTGACCCCACTGAGACCCCATTGACCCCCCTGAAACCCCACTGTGATCCCACTGACCCCATTGAGACCAAATTGACCCCATTGATCCCCATTGACCCCATTGAGCCCACTGGCCCGATTGACCCCATTGAGACCCCATTGGCCCCATTGATCCCCATTGACCCCATTGAGACCCCATTGACCCCATTGAGACCCCATTGATCCCCATTAATCCCCATTGACCCCATTGAGACCCCACTGACCCCACTGAGAACCCATTGACCCCATTGAGACCCCATTGATACCCCACTGACCCCATTGAGCCCACTGATCCCATTGACCCCATTGAGACCCCATTGGCCCCATTGAAACCCCATTGATCCCCATCGATCCCCATTAATCCCCATTAACCCCATTGAGCCCAGTGACTCCATTGACCCCATTGAGACCCCTTTGGCCCCAGTGAAACCCCATTGAGACCCGATTGAACCCACTGAGACCCCATTGAGACCCCACTGACCCCAATGAGACTCTATTGACCCCATTGCGACCCACTGACCCCACTGAGACCCCATTTACCCCATTAAGACCCCTTTGGCTCCAGTGAGACCCCATTGGGACCCCATTGACCTCATGGAGACCCCACTGACCCCATTGATCCCCACTGACCCCATTGAGACCCCATTGACCCCACTGACCCCATTGAGACCCCATTGATCCCCATTGAGACCCCATTGAGACCCCATCGATCCCCACTGATCCCATTGACCCCATTGAGACCCCACTGACCCCATTGAGACCCCATTGGCCCCATTGAGACCCCATTGACCCCATTGAGACCCCATTGAGACCCCACTGACCCCATTGAGACCCCATTGATCCCCATTGACCCCATTGAGACCCCATTGACCCCATTGAGACCCCATTGACCCCATTGACCCCATTGACCCCATTGATCCGCATTGACCCCATTGGCCCCATTGAGACCCCATTGGCCCCATTGAGACCCCACTGACCCCATTGAGACCTCATTGATCCCCATTGACCCCATTGAGACCCCACTGACCCCATTGAGACCCCATTGGCCCCATTGAGACCCCATTGACCCCATTGAGACCCCATTGAGACCCCACTGACCCCACTGAGACCCCATTGATCCCCATTGACCCCATTGAGACCCCATTGACCCCATTGAGACCCCATTGACCCCATTGACCCCATTGACCCCATTGATCCCCATTGAAACCCCATTGGCCCCATTGAGACCCCATTGGCCCCATTGAGACCCCACTGACCCCATTGAGACCCCATTGACCCCATTGACCCCATTGAGCCACATTGACCCCATTGAGACCCCGTTGACCCCACTGGAGACCCCACTGACCCCATTGAGACCCCATTGACCCCATTGAGACCCCACTGACCCCATTGAGACCCCATTGACCCCATTGATCCACATTGACCCCATTGAGACCCCATTGACCCCATTGAGACCCCATTGATCCCCATTGACCCCATTGACCCCATTGATCCCCATTGATCCCCACTGGCCCCATTGAGACCCCACTGACCCCATTGAGACCCCATTGACCCCATTGATCCCCATTGACCCCATTGAGACCCCATTGGCCCCATTGAGACCCCATTGACCCCATTGACCCCATTGACCCCATTGAGACCCCATTGACCCCATTGACCCCATTGATCCCCATTGATCCCCAGTGAGACCCCACTGACCCCATTGAGACCCCATTGACCCCATTGACCCCATTGATCCCCATTGATCCCCAGTGAGACCCCATTGACCCCATTGACCCCATTGAGCCACATTGACCCCATTGAGACCCCATTGACCCCATTGATCCCCATTGACCCCATTGATCCCCATTGACCCCATTGAGACCCCACTGACCCCATTGAGACCCCATTGACCCCATTGACCCCATTGATCCCCTTTGATCCCCATTGAGACCCCATTGACCCCATTGACCCCATTGAGCCACATTGACCCCATTGAGACCCCATTGACCCGATTGATCCCCATTGACCCCATTGAGACCCCATTGAGACCCCATTGACCCCATTGAGCCACATTGACCCCATTGAGACCCCATTGACGCCATGGAGACCCCACTGACCCCATTGAGACCCATTGATCCCCATTGAGACCCCACTGACACCATTGAGACCCCATTGACCCCATTGACCCCATTGACCCCATCGATCCCCACTGATCCCATTGACCCCATTGAGACCCCACTGACCCCATTGAGACCCCATTGGCCCCATTGAGACCCCATTGACCCCATTGAGACCCCATTGAGACCCCACTGACCCCATTGATCCCCATTGACCCCATTGAGACCCCATTGACCCCATTGAGACCCCATTGACCCCATTGACCCCATTGACCCCATTGATCCCCATTGACCCCATTGGCCCCATTGAGACCCCATTGGCCCCATTGAGACCCCACTGACCCCATTGAGACCCCATTGACCCCATTGACCCCATTGAGCCACATTGACCCCATTGAGACCCCGTTGACCCCATTGAGACCCCACTGACCCATTGAGACCCCATTGACGCCATTGATCCACATTGACCCCATTGAGACCCCATTGATCCCCATTGAGACCCCATTGACACCATTGAGACCCCATTGACCCCATTGACCCCATTGACCCCATTGAGACCCCATTGATCCTCATTGATCCCATTGACCCCATTGAGACCCCATTGACCCCATTGACCCCATTGACCCCATTGAGACCACATTGATCCCCATTGACCCCATTGACCCCATTGGCCCCATTGAGACCACCATTGGCCCATTGAGACCCCACTGACCCCATTGATCCCCATTGACCCCATTGAGACCCCATTGATCCCCATGGAGACCCCACTGACCCCATTGACACCCCATTGACCCCATTGATCCCCATTGACCCCATTGAGACCCCATTGATCCCCATTGAGACCCCATTGACCCCATTGATCCCCATTGACCCCATTGAGACCCCCATTGACCCCATTGACCCCATTGAGCCACATTGACCCCATTGAGACCCCATTGACCCCATGGAGACCCCACTGACCCCCATTGAGACCCCATTGATCCCCATTGAGACCCCACTGACACCATTGACACCCCATTGACCCCATTGATCCACATTGACCCCATTGAGACCCCATTGACCCCATTGACTCCATTGACCCCATCGATCCCCACTGATCCCATTGACCCCATTGAGACCCCACTGACCCCATTGAGACCCCATTGGCCCCATTGAGACCCCACTGACCCCATTGAGACCCCATTGAGACCCCACTGACCCCACTGAGACCCCATTGATCCCATTGACCCCATTGAGACCCCATTGACCCCATTGAGACCCCATTGACCCCATTGACCCCATTGACCCCATTGACCCCACTGACCCCATTGAGACCCATTGATCCCCATTGAGACCCCACTGACCCCATTGAGACCCCATTGATCCCCATTGAGACCCCACTGACCCCATTGACACCCCATTGAACCCATTGATCCACATTGACCCCATTGAGACCCCATTGGCCCCATTGAGACCCCATTGACCCCACTGAGACCCCATTGAGACCCACTGACCCACTGAGACCCCATTGATCCCCATTGAGACCCATTGACCCCATTGACCCCATTGAGCCACATTGATCCCATTGAGACCCCATTGACCCCATTGAGACCCCACTGACCCCATTGAGACCCCATTGATCCCCATTGAGACCCCACTGACCCCATTGACACCCCATTGAACCCAGTGATCCACATTGACCCCATTGAGACCCCATTGGCCCCATTGAGACCCCATTGACCCCATTGAGACCCCATTGAGACCCCACTGACCCCATTGAGACCCCATTGACCCCATTGATCCCCATTGAGACCCCATTGACCCCATTGACCCCATTGAGCCACATTGACCCCATTCAGACCCCATTGGCCCCATTGAGACCCCATTGACCCCATTGAGACCCCATTGAGACCCCACTGACCCCATTGAGACCCCATTGACCCCACTGACCCCACTGAGACCCCATTGACCCCATTGACCCCATTGAGCCACATTGACCCCACTGAGACCCCATTGACCCCATTGATCCCCATTGATCCCCATTGAGACCCCATTGAGACCCCACTGACCCCATTGATCCCCATTAATCCCCATTGATCCCCACTGATCCCATTGCCCCCATTGAGACCCCACTGACCCCATTGACCCCATTGACTCCATTGACCCCATTGACCCCAATGACCCCACTGACCCCATTGACCCCATTGAGACCCCATTGACCCCATTGACCCCATTGACCCCATTGACCCCATTGACCCCACTGAGACCCCATTGACCCCATTGATCCCCATTGATCCCCATTGATCCCCATTGAGACCCCATTGAGACCCCACTGACCCCATTGACCCCAATGACCCCATTGACCCCATTGACCCCATTGACCCCACTGACCCCATTGACCCCGTTGATCCCACTGATCCCATTGACCCCACATGGCCCCATTGACCCCATTGACTCCATTGACCCCATTGGCCCCACTGACCCCATTAACCCCATTGATCCCGATTACCCCATAGATCCCAATTGACCCCATTGATCCCATTGATCCCATTCACCCCAATGACCCCAATGACCTTAATGACCCCAATGACCCCAATGACCCCAGTGACCCCACTGACCCCATTGCCCCCATTGACTCCATTGACCCCATTGACCCCACTGACCCCATAGATCCAATTGACCTCATTGTCCCCATTGACCCCACTGACCCCATTCACCCCATTGACCCCACTGACCCCACTGACCCCATTAACCCCATTGATCTCAATCACCCCATAGATCCCAATTGACCCCATTGATCCCCATGTACCCCACTGACCCCATTGATCCCATTGATCCCATTGACCCCAATGACCCCAATGACCCCACTGACCCCACTGACCCCATTGCCCCCATTGCCTCCAATGACCCCATAGGATCCCAATTGACCCCATTGACCCCACTGACCCCAACGCCCCCACTGACCCCATTGATCCCAATCACCCCATAGATCCGAATTGACCCCACTGACCCCAATAACCCCTCACATCCTCACTGACCCCAATGGCCCCACACCGAACCCCAACCACCCCACAGCGCCGACCCCAAAGAGCCTGCGTGACCTTTGACCCCTCGTGACCTTTGACCCCTCGTGACCTTTGACCCCCCACAGATTGCTCCGCCTGCGCCGCCACCCCGCACTTCCTCGCCCCATAGCGGGGTTCTGCCGGGTCTGCGGGGGGGGCCGGTCCTCATCCTTTTAGGGGATGGCAGCTCTGGTTATGGGGCGAGGGGGCGCCGCCGCGACCCCTGCGGTAATGGGGCTATGGGGCCTGTGGGGGGGTCGCTATGGGGGCTCTAGGGGACGCTATGGGTCTCTATGGGTCTCTATGGGTCTTTATGGGGTCTCTATGGGTCTCTATGGGGTCACTATGGGTCTCTATGGGTCTCTATGGGTCTTTATGGGGTCTGTATGGGTCTGTATGGGGTCACTGTGGGGTCTCTATGGGGTCTCTATGGGTCTCTATGGGGTCACTATGGGGTGAGAGGGCACCACCGCGACCCCTGCGGTAATGGGGCTATGGGGCCTGTGGGGGGGTCGCTATGGGGGCTCTAGGGGGCGCTGTGGGTCTCTATGGGTCTCTATGGGGTTTCTATGGGTCTCTATGGGGTCTCTATGGGGCTCTATGTGGTCTCTATGGGTCTCCATGGGGCTCTATGGGGCTTTATGGGGTCTCTATGGGTCTCTATGGGTCACTATGGGTCTCTATGGGGTCACTATGGGGCGAGGGGGCACCACCGTGACCCCTGCGGTAATGGGGCTATGGGGCCTGTGGGGGGGGGGTCGCTATGGGGGCTCTAGGGGGCGCTGTGGGTCTCTATGGGTCTCTATGGGGTTTCTATGGGTCTCTATGTGTCTCTATGGGGTCTCTATCAGGTTTCTATGGGGCTCTATGGGGTTTCTATGGGGTCAGTATGGGGACTCTATGGGGCTCTCTGGGTCTCTATGGGGTTCTATGGGTCTCTATGGGTCTCTATGGGTCTCTATGGGGCTCTATGGGGTCTCTATGGGTCTCTGTGGGTCTCTATGGGTCTCTATGGGTCTCTATGGGTCTCTATGGGTCTCTATGGGGCGAGGGGGCACCGCCGCGACCCCTGCGGTAATGGGGCTATGGGGCCTGTGGGGGGGGTCGCTATGGGGGCTCTAGGGGGCGCTGTGGGTCTCTATGGGTCTCTATGTGTCTCTATGGGGTCTCTATCAGGTTTCTATGGGGCTCTATGGGGTTTCTATGGGGTCAGTATGGGGACTCTATGGGGCTCTCTGTGTCTCTATGGGGTTCTATGGGTCTCTATGGGGCTCTGTGGGTCCCTATGGGTCCCTATGGGTCTCCATTGGTCTCTATGGGTCTCTATGGGTCTCTATGGGGTTCCTATGGTGTTTCTATGGGGTCGCTATGGGGTCTCTATGGGTCTCTGTGGGTCGCTATGGGGTCTCTATGGGGTTCTATGGGGCTTCTATGCGGTCGCTATGGGTCTCTAGGGGTCTCTGTGGGGTTTCTGTGGGTCTCTATGGGTCTATGGGTCTTTAGGTGTTTTCTATGGGGTCTCTATGGGTCTCTGTGGGTCCCTATGGGTTCCTATGGGTCTCTATGGGTCCCTATGGGTCGCTATGTGTTTCTATGGGTCGCTATGGGTCGCTATGTGTCCCTATTGGGTCTCTATGGGTCCCTATGGGTCGCTATGGGTCGCTATGGGTCCCACCATGGCATCACCTCCTCTGTCTCCCCCTCTCTCCCCCCCAGGGCCTTCGTGTCCCCGACCCCATTGGACCCCAATGACCTCAAGCTCCTCTATGGGGCCCGGCGAGGACGGCTGTGGGGCCGACGCCGGCGGGGCCGATGCCTATGGGGTCGCCGCCAATGGGGTCGA